CCACCCCCACCCTCTCTCTCATCCTTCCCCAGAGCGGAGTCAACAATGGTTTGGTCCGAGCCAAAGACTCCATCACCAGCTTAAAGGAGAAGACCACCCGGGTGAACCAGCATGTGCAGTCATTGCAGGTGTGAAGCCCCTCCTCTCCCAACACTGGTCTTTCTCTTAGAACCTGCCTCCCACCAGGTGCACCCACACCCCAGTTGGGGAGATTGAGCTCCAGAAGGGAAGGGATCCCCCATCCCAGGCCGAGTTCCTCCGCCCCTTGGAGCACCCCTTTGTGGCCTGGTCTAACCCCTTCCTCCCCAACCCGTTCCAGAGCGAGTGCTCAGTGCTGAGTGAAAATTTAGAGAGAAGGCGGCAAGAGGCAGAAGAACTAGAAGGGTACTGCAGTCAGCTCAAGGTGGGCCGCTGAGAGGCAGGAATGGGGTGTGTTGGGGAACAGCGTGGGGTGGTAGGAACAGTGTGTGTGTGAAGGGTGTGCTGTGGAAGGGCAGATTGGGTGGGCATGGGAGAGGGGGGAACAAGAACAGGGCTACCTGTAGGGTTCCAGGCCAGCAAGAAGGCAGAGCAGTGGGTGTGGTGTGTGCTTGGGGGTGGAGCCAATAGGGAGGAATTGGGTGTGGCTTGACTCAGGGGTGGAGCCCATAGGGGAGTGGGTGTGGCTTGGCTTAGGGGTGGAGCCATAAGGGGTGGGTGTGGCTTGGCTTAGGGGTGGAGCCCATAGGGAAGGACGTGGGTGTGGCTTGGCTTAGGGGTGGAGCCCATAGGGAGGGACGGAAATTAGGGGACTGGAGGCAGAACTGGAATGGGAAGGCAGGGTCCCCCACCTGGTGTCCTGACGCAGGAAAACTGCCGGAAGGTGACCCGGTCAGTGGAAGACGCTGAAATCAAAACCAACGTCCTGAAACAGAACTCTGCCTTGCTGGAGGTAAAAGGGAGGTGGGGATTTAATCCCAGGATTGGGGGGATGGGGTGAGGCCTGAAGGATTTGAGGGAGGCTTCCGGTGTGACCTTCCCCGTCCTGCTCGACCCACCACAGGGAAAAGTTGCATGTTTCCAACCACAGTGAGAATCCACGTAGAAGGATTCGAGCTAGGTTTCCAACGGACCGCTCCCACCAGAGCTGGGGAACTTTTCGATTCTGGTTGCCGAGGGAGAGGCTGGGGCCGGACGTCCAGTGGGAATGCCTGCCCTGCCCACGTGCCCACTCACTTGCCTCAGTTGCCCTCCTACATGATGGACTAGGGTTTACCAGCTTGGAGGACTGAGGTTGGGGGTGGAGACGTGGAGGCAAAGTATTGTAGGGCCACAGCTGGACTTCCCAGAGGGCATCCCTTCCTTCCCCCAGGACAGCAGTAAGCGGAGGTCCACGTCGATTCCAAAGAGGGCTTAAAGCCCCGTGACTTCCCCGCCTTAGGGATGATTGACGGCCGATTTTGGGGGGTGGGTGGTGCTGGACGCTGTGACTGGGTCCTCTCCCCCCGCCCAGGAGAAGCTGCGCTATCTCCAACAGCAACTTCAAGATGAGACGCCGCGTCGGCAGGAGGCCGAGCTGCAGGAGTTAGAGCAGAAGCTGGAGGCCGGCCTCTCCCGGCACGGCCTGGGCCCGGGCGCTGTACCCCAGGGCTGCTCAGGCCCCCCGGGGAGCCCCGACGAGCCCCCTCGGTCCCGCAGCGTGACCCCTGGCGGCTGGGGAATGGGGCCCAGGGCGGGAGAATGTCCCCTCTCGAGCGAGCTGGAGCTGCAGAAAGTGTCCACGGGCCTCGAGGAATTAAGGTGGGTGGAGCCTCGAGGAGCTGTGGTGGGCGGGGCTCAGGAGGTGGGTCTGAGTGGGTGGGGCCCAAGGGTGCAGGACCCAGGGTAATCAGAGCTTAATGGAGTCCAGGGGAACGGTTTGGGGAGGGAGGGGCTACAAGGTCTTGAGGTGCTGGGGCCCAATGAGCCTGTAGAAGGGCCGGGAGTGAGGTCAGGGGTGGAGCTGATGAAAGGTGAGGCAGGGAGCCCAGGAGAGAGGGTGGGGAACCTCAAAGAAATAAAATGACGGGATTCAG